GCAGGAGGGCTGTGGGCGCAGGCCCTGCGGGCCCGGGGACCAGCTCGCCCCCGAGCCCCTGTGGTAAGGACGGCTCTCCCCTCACAGCCAGCTCTCGGTCCAAGATACTGCTGGACGTGAATGATAAACGACGTCGTCGTGTCCTCCAGCTTCCCCTGTCCTAGGGCTGCGGCAGCTCGGCACGCGTCCCGGCTGAATGACCCCTGGGGTTCAGGCTCCGTAACAGCCGGAGCCTCCGGTTAACGGGCTCCTTCCCTCGGGCGCTGGACAAACAGGTGCCGTGATGCTAGAGGACATGCCAGCTGTGCGTCGTGGCCCTGGCCACAAGGCCTGGCCGGTCGGGGCAGTGGGCAGAACTGCTCTCCAGCGCTGGGGCCCTTCGCACCAAACTCAGAGAGGCTTTTGAGCAGCCGCTCGCAGGTTCCTGCAGGCCCATCGCTGGGGCTGTTGCAACCTGGCAGAAACAGCTTGGCTTCTGCCAAGTTCGGGCGTTCCCAATGCCCAGCTGGAAGGAAAAGCAGCCAGATAGCTCGGCAGACACAGCACTACCCGACAAGGGGGAGCACCAGGAGAGTTAAGAAAGAGTTAGACATTTGTTTCATTCAAGGGTTTTGGGGTTTTGGCCAGATGTTCTTGGCTCGTTTGTCCTTCCTTCAGCACAGTGCAGGTGTGGAGCACTCCCCACCAGCGGCCAGGAGACTGATTGCTTTCTTTTCCATCAGCTGGGCTTTATCACCCAGAGGGGAACCACGTTGACGAGTTGCTGAAGACCCACAAAGCTTCGGCCAGCACAGGAGCTGGTCAGGAGCACCATCATCTTGCACGCCCCTTACGGCCCCAAGCTCTGATGTGCTCGGACTTCTGTCACAAGGCAGCTTCACAGCCTGCTGCCACCTCATGATACCTTTGGGAGCATGCCCCATCCTGCGGCTCCCCCACGGAGCACGCAGCACCACGGAGCGCCGGTGCTCAGCCCGCAGCCTTTGTCACTTCTCGGACAACTCCTCAGGTCCCCGTTTCTTTTCAAGGAATGGGGTCGAGTACAGTACCCGAGAGGAGCAAGCAGTCTTCCCCACCTCCTGCTCCTCCTTCAAGAGAGACATGTTAGAAGGGCCCAGACGTAATTCCCATCCTCCTTTTCTTCCCTCTGTGTAAAAGCGACCTTCACACCTCTGTCTTTACACCAAGCTTTCTCCAGCCTCCCCAGCCCTCTTAGCAGGGAAAGTTTGCTCTCCGCTAGTACACCCCATAACCTGCCCCCCCAAGCCACCTCCAGATGCAGCAACAAGAAGCAGTGGAGTTTGCTGCTGTCTCTCCTGCTGTAGTTTCACATCCGTTTCCCATACATCCCAACCCCCCTCGTCGGGGCTGTTTGCAGAGGCAGTTCCAGGCACTGCTTTTCACCGGTGTGAAGCAGAAGAGCTCATTTATGAACGGTAGTTTGAAATACTGTAATACTTAACTTTATCCAGCAGCTTCCTAGTGAGGATCTTGAGGCTTTCTGTAAATTGGAATTAGTTAAACCTCAGAGGCCCTCCTTGTATTTGGCGTTACAGCTCTTTTGCAGCTGGAAGAAAATATTTCAGCTTGGTTACGTGTCTCGCTTGGAGCCATGCAGTGAATCACTGGCAGGAAAAGGAACAGAACTCAAAAGCCCTTTAACTGCCAGCTCTGGCCATCAGACACTTCTCTTTCCTCCAGCCTTGGAGTTACTTAACTCAGCACACATTTAATACTTACTTAACACATATGTTTCCCCATTACAACAGCAAACGCTGAACTTTGGGTCTCATTTAACAGCTTCATGCCTTCACCCTGAAACAGTACATCAAGAAGAGCCGAGGCAGAAGGATGTAAAACGTGCTCTCTGGCAGGCTCCCCAGCTGTCCTCACCTGCTCAGCACTGCTCAGCTGCATCGCACACCCGCTGCTGGCGTCTGACAGTGTCAGCCAGCCAGGCCAGCTCTCCAGCCGGGGTCCTGGGTGTCCGGTTATGGCAGACACTTGGTCTCAGCAGATTTGTCTGGGCCGTGTTGGGCCCCACGTGTCTCTGATGGGGTATGCAGATCAGCCCATTCTTATTTAAATTCTCCCTTAGCAGCAGACAGAAACAGAGGTGGGTTGTGAGCAGGAGCAGCTGTGGGCAAGCTGGCCTTGCACAGCCCCACCTGTCAGGCTCTGGGCAACATTTCTCTCTCCACCTTAGCCGCTGTATGGTGGGACTCCAGCTTCATCCCAGCAGTAGCAGTCAGCGATGATGCTCAACAGGGCAGTCACCACACCCCACTCCCCCAATGCTCCACATCATCTCAGCGGGGCAGGTGGTACCTGTGCCAGGGCACTCAGCTCAGCCTGTGGCCCAGACCCTGGCTTCCCAGTTCTGCTCTCACCTGCTGGACCCTCCACCCCCTGCTCCCGTGACCCAGCAAGATGTGCTGTTGTCCTTCCTCTCTCAGTTGCCCTGGTGCCTTTATCTGCTGGAGAAGGTCAGCTAAGCTTTGTGAAGTTCACTTTGGATGCCTGGTAAGCAAATAGATGTGGTAAGGGTGCTTATCTCCTTGGGAACGTGGCAAAACACAAACAACTTTGACTAACTCAGCATGGAAATACCCTCCCTAGAGGGGCAGGCAAGAGGCCAGAACAGAGCACGCAGGTCTGGGGAATTTCCATCAGCACCAACACAGACGGGCTCCACTCCAAAGTCCTTCCTGGCTGCCCATAACATGGCAACTCCGCATTACCATTGGTGAACCAAGACCAGCACTTGGTCCCTTATGAACAAGGGAGACCGGCAGTCATGGGAATAACTGGAAGGAAGGCAGCGTAGGCACATGGAAAGTGCTCACCTGGTGGGCAGGAGGCTGCCTGCAGAGGCAGAGCAGGAGGCCAGGGGCTGTTTCTCAAAGAAGCCCAAAGCTACATTCCACAGAGCAAGATGCATGACCAAATGGCGCGGTGGTCCCACACACCCATACATCGTGACGTGCGGTTTGGCCCATGCCTGCCCCACGAGGCAGGCGCCATGCCCCAGGACCTGCGTGTCCCTGCTCCAGCCATCCCACTGTCAGGGGATCCCCTCCCACCACCCTGCCACCCGCCCGTGCTGCTGGGACCTGCTCAGAAACCTTCCCTGTTTTTATCGCCTGCCCAATCCACCCCACACCGGGAACTGGAGAAGTCCTCTCCAGAGGAAAGACACTGTGGAGGGCAGGGGCTGTGCTGGCAGAGCTCAGCAGGGCAGGGGGCAGGACTGGGCTGTGTGTTCAGGGTGAGGGCACGAAGGGCTATTCGGGTGCTGGCTGATCCAGCGAGCCAGGACCAGACTGTGGCTCAGTATTTAAGCCAGGAAGGTTTTGGCCGCTGGCCTCTTGAAGCGCAGGGTTAGTGTCACTGGCAGGGTTAGGGTGCCGGGAGCAGGAGGTTCTCTGGAAATCATCCCCAAATGCTACACAGGACAGCACAGGTTTACCCCTCCGCATAACGGCTTCCACTTTCTCATCACCCACCATC